TTTCCTTATTGATTAGGTACATAATATGTAGTATTACGTTTGTATATTTGTAGTAAGCATAAACCAAAATAAAATGCTACTACACAGATAATCTGTAGCATTTTATTCTGATTTATACTACAAATCACAGTAACATTACTCTGTAAAAGCACATATTACTGAAAGAGTCTTTCCGTGTAAAGCCTCAGAGATAAATGAGCATGTTAAGTTATAAAGGTCAGCGCATCTGCGCCTGCGCTTCCTTTAAACTTTCCTTCGGCGGTGAAGGTGTTAACAATAAATTCGATAAATAACAAAGGGACAGCAAATCGGCAGAGATTGTTAAATTTTTGTCTGGAGAAAAGGTCAGATTTTTTACAAACAAACGGACATTACAACGGTTAAGTTAAAGGGATTCATTGTTGTTGTTGATTTCAAGGTTTCCAACTTCAGAAATTGTAATCATCAGTACTTGCTTGGTTCAGTGGTCAGTAAATTACTATATTCTTAGTTATTCAGTTTACAAGAAGGTCTTCGGTTATTTTGAATATTGACCAATACTAAAAATATCTAATTCTTCCAATGTAGAGTCATAAAAATCGCACAAAAAACAATTTAATGTGTTCAAAATTACAATCAAGATCAAAATTATCTTTATTTGCGTAGGCTAATTAAATTAGTACCTACTTACAAATCGTCAAATGCTCATAAGGAGGCTATAGGTACAATGTAGTCTCATTCTTTTTTTGCCCTACAACCTTTTTTGTTGCCAAGACGATATAGCTTACTTTATCTAAAAGGTAAAATATCTCATGTAAAGCCAAGCTTCTTAAACTACAAGTCTTAACTTCAAGAACTCAATAAATGTGGCTTGTTATTAAAATTTATTGTATTATTTAGTGCCTTTATTTGGGTGATTTCAATTAAGAGGTGAAATTATACCCAATGAATAAATATGTTCCATTTATAATCATAATTATGCAATAACCAGTTCAATTCACATGAGTCATAAAGAAAGGCACTGGAATTCCAATAGACACAGTCATACCACTAATGTCACACATGTATGTGAAAGTCAGACCCTACTCTGTCATGATGGATACTTATCATAAAATAAAATTTAATCACCTGCTGCAAATTTAATGTAAAAAAAATAAAACCAACTCCAAAAAACCGACACTAAAATGTAGAAAAATAATTACTAATTACCTACTTATTTATTAGGACGAATTATTAATATTTATGTAGGTATACCATGATTGATACTTCTGGAGTCGGTGCCAAGATTATGAAACATGTAAAGTTTGCCTGCACCGACTCCAAAAGTATCAATCATGGTATACCTACATAAATATTAATAATTCGTCCTAATAAATAAGTAGGTAATTAGTAATTATTTTCCTACGTTTTAGTGTAGGTTTTTTGGAGTCGGTTTTATTTTTTTTTTATAAAATTTCACTTATTTCTTGCTTTTTAGTTAACTAATTATTACCTTGATGTTACCACTGAAGGTAGGCAGTACACTGAGACAAAAAAAATTGGTTCATAATCGGCGGGAGATATTGCGTATAAAAAAGTTCATCCCCAATTTTCTACCCTTTGGGGTGAAATATTTTCTTCAAATTCACATGAAACGACTCTTTTAATAATACCTATTCAACAAAAAATAATCGTTCAAATTGGTTTATAATCGGCGGAGATATTGCGTATAAAAAAGTTCATCCCCAATTTTCCACCCTTGGGGGTTGTTTTTTTATTATTAAATTTAAATGGGACCACCCTTGAAGTATTACCTATACGCTGAAATAAGATTTGTTCAAATCGGTTCATAATTGGCGGAGTTATCGCGTAACAAACATAGAAAAAAAAAAAAACCTCCTCCTTTTTTGAAGTCGGTTGAAAACTGCTAAATGAATAGTTTATAATCATTATAAAATACTAGCTTTTGCCCCGCGGTTTTGTCCTCTTCAAATTCGGCCTGTAACAAAAAGAGTTAATCGCACTCATGTTTTCCTTTCCAAAACCGGAATAAAAACTATGTTTTTCCCAAACTAATTTTATCAAAATCGGTTCAGTAATTTCAGTAATTTAAGCGTAAGTACTGACAAAATATACAGCTCAATTTACTGGTACACCCCAATTAACACGAGAAGCTTTTAAAGAAGCTTATCTGTCCTAATCCATCCATTGTGTTAAGTGTCCAACTGAACGCTGCCCGCGGCACGTACAAACGACAGCACATCTAGCTAACACTGTGGCATCTTAAGCTGCTGGTAATAGGGGCTATTATGCCACTAAAATGTATAGTCTGATGTGTTTAGTGTACATTTGTGGCCCAGAGCGGCCATTAGACGTGCGCGGGGGCAAAACAAAACGTACCGCGATCGCAGCTAATGAGAGTGACGTGTCACTCTGGGTACAGTTGCTGACTAAAGTGTTAGTAATTTATAATAATGAATAGCTTTTGCCTGTGGTTACACTCGCGTATTTTGGTCTATCATAGAAAATCTACCGCGTGCCTGTTGCCCTCCTAAAACTCTATTGTGTTTTTCTCTTGAATCTCATTACTATCTCTACACCTACACATTTTAATGTGTTCAGTGGTTTAGGTATGAAAGGGTTTTAAATATTTTAAGTATAAACTGTATCCCGACAAGATTTGTTTGGAATCTTACCCAATTTGTCAATGTTTTAATAATAAAAAACATAATACTTGAGTCTTTGGTTGAGTTATAACTTTCCGTATTCCCCTTTCTTCCCGACTGTAATAATTAAAACATACGGGTCGAATTGAGAACCTCCTCCTTTTTTGAAGTCGGTTGAAAATAGAAAGCCAAAGTCAATATTCTCGTTAAATTTTCGAAACCCTATTCTTCCCGACTGTACTCAATCAGACTGAAAGGGTGACCTGCGATTAGGCCGACGGGGCGGGGCGGGGCGGGCGCGGCTACAAGCTTGCTCTACACGACTGCCTGACAGTACTGATTATACTGCTAAGTGCTAACTGCTGGTGAAGGAGTGGACAATTTGTAGCGATTTTATATCACACTGTACACTAGTCTAGTCGCGGGCACTTGTCAAAATATTCGTAACAATTTCGAAGAAAAGATTTTGTCAAACAATATCTTTTCTTGGTAAGGGACTGCTTTACTGCACCGCAGAGACCGCAGATCATTGTATGCAATAACTCGCATAACTCAAGGTTGTCAACTTTTTCGTATTAGGTAGTTATTTCGTAGCTGAGGCTGAGCTTTGTATTCTTTTCTACGAGTAAATATATACGTACCTACTGCTATGCTCATGATGGGTCAAGTCACGCTTGTAACATTTTAAACTTGCTAGTTACATTATTAACCTAGTCAATTTTATTAACTTAACCAATCACACCAGTTAACAATAATGCACAGACAGGCTATTGCAATGCAAAAACACAGAATAAGACTACCAGGTAATCGAGGTCAAGATTGTTGTGTCAATTTTCACAACAATCCCACAATGAAGCCTGATATTTGTCAGGCCTCAGGCCGTAGTCTTCAAAAGGTTAACATTAACCCGCGGATGCGCGCGCGCAACGCAACCCCTCATTACGGCGCATCCCGCAATTAAGCGCTTTCCCTCGATATTCATTATGACGGAAATTAATTCGACTGTGGAGTTAAAGGTTGACGGTTCAGGTCATATTTCAAAGGTGGTGACTACGTTTCCATTGTTCTGACGATTGCACATTAAGGTTAACAACGTAGTATTATGTAGTTGTCATAGGTCATATTCCGAAACAAAATTGTGTAATATAAATTATATAAAATTATATAATGTACAAAAAATTGTGCAAAAATTTTTAACTAATAAATAACTATACCTACTAGTGTAATGTGTAGCAAAGAAACTTTGACAGATGTATGCAGCTTTGGTTTAACAAGTTTTCCCTACTTTTCGTAGTGCACTAAGGATATAGGTAATTGTTTTGTATCAAAACATTGTTAGACTTTGAAATTAATTAAAGAAACAGGTGTCCAGACTACGTAATGTCTACTGACACACATATGTCTATCTTAACTTGTCACTTTCATCACTCTACACTTTAACACGTGACTACTTGATTACTGACCATGTCCATCTCAAAAACATTATCATCTTCGTCTTTCAATGGAAACGCGCACTCTCGCGCCGGGAACTCTCATCCATCACATTTGCCGCTTCGAATTCAATCTGCCCGTGATAAATGCCTGCCCAGGATTAAGATATAGCCGCGGTTTCTCTCCATTGTACTTGACGTCATTACGATTCAATTGCTCACTTGCATCACCAACGGGAAAGTATCGATCGGTTATTGATTCTTCAAATTAATCCGTTGCATCATAATTCGTAACGATTTCATTAAATAGCGATGCACTTTTACGTTTCGAGATATCGATTGTATGACTTTATTATTCATCTTTAAGTTCACCTCTCATCCATAATTTACAGTCCTGACATTTGGAGCTGAAGTTTATGTTGTGCAAAAAGAATCGAAACAATCTGATGATACCTCGGCCCTGTTGTCCTGTCAGAGAGCTTTGATATTTTGACGTTGTGTGGTCTTCTAATTGAAACCAGAAAATGTGTTAACTCTGAAAGAAGTTAATAGGGATGTTCCCTGGGTTAATGTAAGAGTTTTAATTAGTCCGTCAGTTAAGTTACCAAGAAATTCTCGACACGTATGTTTCACTTTTTCAAACTAATGGAAATTTAAGAAGATAAAGCGCGCCAAAGTTCAAAAGAATAGGCCTGTGACGTCAATGAGTGCTTAAAAGTGCAGCACTTTGTGACGTCGCGCCGAACTGCAACACACCACATCTTTGTAATTATTTGTATGATGGACAGTTAAAAATATTACGTGTCCAATATTTTTTGATATGAAAATTGATGGATTAAAAAATTTTTTTAGGATACTAGCCTATTGCGCTCTACATTGCGATAAAAAAGTTTTAACCGTTGTATTTACTGCTACCATTTTTAACGTGGTTTTTCTCTTGTTGCAGCGAACAACGTGGACACCCACAACCACCAGATCGACCAGAAGTCCAACCAGTGGTTCGGCGCCACCCTCGCCAGCACCGGTCGTAACGGGCCTATTGTGGTGAGTAAATAGCATTACCTATTTACCCAAGAAATTATTTCATCATCATCATTTCAGCCATAGGACATCCAATGCTGAACATAGGCCTCCCTCCCCCAATGCTTTCCATGTTGATTGTTTGGTGGCGGCCTGCGTCCAGCGCCTTCCTGCTATTACTTATTTATTTAATCCTTATTAAGAAATTATTTATTTAGTCCTTATTCAGTGTCTTTCCTAGAAATAGATTTCTGAATGTCTCTAGGTTGAGTTTTAGGCTGGAATCTTAGGGTTGAACATGGGAGTTACATTAAATCCTCTAACCTTACGGGACGGAGTTAAATTACAACTCTATGGAAAATATGACTTTTTCCTTGTCTGTCGTACCTAGTTTCATAACCACAATACTTCTTGTGCATTTCTAAACTTCTCCGATCCTCTTTCAAAGCGAGCAATAAATTCAGCTCTCCAGAACATGGGTTAAACGTTAGAACTGCCTTTGTTCCAAATAAATGCAGGAAAAATCTTTAAGGTCACTTATTCTTCTTCTTAAAACCTGGATAACCCTGGTAATGACGGTAGAACTTTCGTTAAAAATCTTTAAAACTGTAAAAATTGCATTGCACATACTACTCATATATGTACTGGCGTATCCCTGATGACCACATGGAAAGGAATAAAGATAGACATATCTTTGCGAAATCGTAAAAGCGACCGGGTGACCCAATAAGCCAGCCTTGGGCCGGCCCCATTGCTGCAAATGTCAACATGGGGTCGGGTTGATGATGGGGCCATTGTCTGGAATGGAATAGATTAGGTGTTGTATATTAGCGTGTTTAGATTGGATTCATTTGGATACAGGGTGGGAATAAGACTTCAGACTAAGGTAATATTCTTGGATATTTAACACTGCGCCATCTATTCCCAAACTAAGCTACGCTCATAGTAACAGACAATGAAATTGAAAGAAATAAGCTGCTGCTTTATCACTTTACAATTTTCTTGTTCTTATTCTGTGTATTATATGTCTAACATAGTGGCAACGTACAACATTATAATAAAACTGGCGAATTGAACTTGTGGAAGTTTCACTCTGAAAGGTGAGATGCAGGAGTTTCCTCATTGTGGATAAAAAAAACCAGGGAGAGATGATCTTTTGAGGATCAAAATAATGGATAAATTAAAGTAATTTGTAACAATAGGCTCATCATTATGGCTAGTAAAGATTCCGAGAACAAAAAATAATCTTTTTGGCAACATCACTCAGTTACGTAACAACTTCTAAGAACGAAAATGTCTTCCTGTGCCGGGGCAAGGACGGGAGTGCCTAAAGGGCGCGCCGTTTATGGGTCACTGGTGCGGTAGGCTGGCCCCATTCCGAGACTATGGCGACCCGGATTGGGCTGTTAAGACGAAGGCGAAGGTGTTAAATTAGCAAACGATATTAAGTAAACGAGTAATTAACTTTATCATAAGTACCTACATAGATTGGCGCCCTGATCAAGTACATACAGCAAATTAAGCTAAAAACTTAAGAAAACAGGCGCCCGCTCAGTTTTAATAGTGACATCATGATATGATGGGATGATGACTGTTTTGATAGTGGTTTATCCGACAGTACCTAACTTTTTTATTGGGTTTGCTTGTTCTGTAGGTGTAAACTGTCAACCTATACCGCATATCGAATTTTGATGAATTTCAGTAAAATGAAAACTTCAAGGGGTGAAATAGGAACTGAAAGTGGGTGCGCTAAGAATAAGAATTATACTAATAATATTAATTACATGTTAAATTATTATGCATTGGATTTAACTTTCTTGTAAATAATTAAATAGCAACATTTTCGATTGTAAAGTTTGTTCTGTCATTTGATACTTACGACTATCGGCATTTCTCAAATACCATTTCTTAGGAAATTGTCTTGTAGGTAATTAAATTGTATCTAATAAAGAAATGTATTTCCATCAAACTACTTTCCGACGAAATTGGCAGTAAACATCAAGAGAAGCATAAGCTCATAAAATGGCACTCCGAGTTATTAGGAATTCCGGGATTAAACGAAACATTGATTAATAGAAATATTTGTTACGATGTAAGTTTATAGTCCCTGAACTAGTAGGTATGTCATTAGTTTAAAAGCCAAAATGAAAATATACCCAATTTAATACTGTGAGTTTGTTACTCCTTCTACATTTCCAAAGATTAGGCAAGGAAGCATAAACCATGAAGTTAACACTGGTATTTTGGATAGTTTTGCCTACAGTAGGTAGGCAAGTTTTACAAGACAAAGCTCATAAAAATTTAAATTAACGACTGTCTGTTTAATCCCGAAATAATTTTTGAAAACTGGTTTACTCCTATTTACTTTAAAATTACAATTTGAAAGGTAATTACGATCATTAATATTTAAAACAGTGCCTCGGTAATTAATTAAAGCAGACATTTATTACTTCTTTTTGCCGCATCATTAAGCCGTTGTGCCCTCAGCATAAAATTACTACTACCATTTTTATTCTCCCTTCAATTTGTCAATGTTGTCACACTTAAACGCCCACTTCTCACGGAATACACGCATTATGATTGGTATTACACAAACATATAATGAATTGGATGACAGCATATAAATACTTGGACGACTTTTTGTATGATAAATCACTTTCCTAAAACGGTTAATAGCAAATTTTATGGGCAGAAGCCATCGCTCATGCCTTCAACGAATACCGACTCGGCATCCCAGATGCATTTTGCATTAAATTTTTAGGGTACCGCTGAAAACATGTACAGTATTTTCTTCATAATTTTGTCTTTTTCATTTTATGCTAAAAATAACTTTATTATTTTTAGCATGTTTAGCAATGCAATGAGCTTAATTAGAGCTTTCGTCATTACTAGTTTACCATCATAAAATTTTTTATTATCAGCATTTTAAATGTAACTAAAATAGAAATTCCAAAATGTTGGTTAAAATATTGTTATAGTACGTACTACGCGGCTACGTCAAAACAAAAATGTTGTTAGAAATAATCGTACCTATTTCGTAAAAAAATATGGGTACCTAAAATACCTAAATAACTTTCTAGACAATGAAGTACGAGTACTAATGCTTACAAGAATTTTCCTTCTTGCAAAGACGTCTAAAACTTTCTATAACTTATTTAAAACTCTAAAAAAACAAAAAAATAATAATTTTAAAATACTGCAGAACCCACCCGCGATCGCGTGTTCGCACAGTCCTTATTGAAATCGCTCACGAGCGCGTTCGGCGAAGCGAGCTCGCCTCAAGAAATGATATTGTTTTTGCCCTCCCCTTAAGGAGTTGGCATTTTTATTTCGGTATGCCGAATTGGTGCAAAAAGCAGTCTCTCTCAGGCTGCAATTTGTTTAGGCATTTTGTTTCATTTGCACGTTGGAGGGCTGGCCGAGAATTTTTAATTGTCTACAGGATGCGCCGGAGTTGGTTGGAGTTAGAATAAAGCATTTATTTTATTCTTCAGTCACATGAATTTAATTTTAGGACAAACTTGATAAAATCAAATGTATAAAAATCCACCACTTTTGTTCATTGACCTTTATTCGATTCAGTTTTATGAAAACTACTGAATTATTTAGGTAAGTATAACCTATCGTATCACTATTCCAATTGAAATAGCAGTAAGTATTCAAATTGCGTTTGCCTCTGGTAAATTAGACGGCCGTGCTCCTGCAGTGGAGACTAAGTGACCTGATGATGAATGATTCAAATTGCATCAGTTTTTCATATTTTTTTAGATTTTCCTTTATTGTCCGACTGCATAATAGTTGACAAAGATTAATTATAGCTTTCCAACGTTACTGTACATACTTTAAAACGTAACCAAGAAAAGCAAGAAAATAATAGCCCATCGTACTCGTTGCGCTAAATATACTGTATTGATTTATAATTGCCGCCGCGCTGCGGCCGCGCAACCGCTTTTTGTAGGAATTATTTATAACAAATTGCTCGGTGCCGGCTAAGAACTCACTTAGCTCCTTTGTCCACCCTTTTAAGGATCCTTCGCACAATGGTTGGTAGGACAGCCTGACTATAAGGGCATGTTGCTTCAATTTGTCAAGAGTAAGATTTTGTTTTATTTTGGCACTAGCTTTCAGCCCGCGGCTTCGCCCGCGTAGAATTTTGTCTGTCACAGAAAAACCTTTTCGCGCGCGTCCCTGTTTCAAAAACAGGGATAAAAACTATTCTATGTCCTTTCCCGGGACTCAAACTATCTCTATGCCAAATTTCATAGAAAAAAGTATAGATAGATTTGTAAGTAATTACCTTTAGTTTTTTAACTGTAAGGCATAAACAAAATTTAAAGCAAAATTAAAGGACATTGCAAAGAGTTGAAGATGCTGTCACAGTACAGGGATGAGTGGAAAATTGCTCGAACTTTATGACTGGACATAAACCAAGTAGATTTTGATGTGACTAAAAAAACATATGTGCTTCTCACAACATTTTATGTAAATTCTATATTAAGTCAATGTCCAAGTCACCCACTTTGATAAATAGCTAAAAATTTGAAAATTAAGCAATGTGCGACTTTTCTTATCTTGAAAATTATGCTGATTTCCGGCTATTAAGCTTTTTCACTGATCACGCGCGGTATGGCACTCGGATGCTGTGGTGAATATTTATTAACCGCTTTTTACGACCCTGACAATGCCTCTAGACATACCACAGACTATAAAGGCAGATTCATTCTCGCGTTTGTGTCTTACGCAGGTGAGAATAAGTTTATTTAGGAACTTAAAGACATAACCTGAGAAGAAAAATTAAAAGTACAGTATTGGTGTTTATGGTGTTAATGATCATAGACAAAAAAAATGCCATTGATCCTGGGACATCCAATGCAAAAGAGTCCAACTCTTTTACATCAAAATGCTGAAATTATTGTTAATTATTTATTATTTTAATGAATAATGTTTGTAAAAGGCAATTCAAACAATTTAGACTCTTCTTTCTTCCTTTGTTATAAAGATTTAATACCGCATGAAGTTCTATG